AAAGACCAAAAAAAAAAAGACCCCAACAAATAGGCCCTCCGTTGGAAAAGCTGCTGCCTCAGGCTGATAGCTGATAGCTGAGTGATGCTCATGATGCGCAAGTCTTCTGCTTCAAAAACAACCAGGACGACGGGCACCGTCGAAAGGCGAAAGGGATCGAAAGGGAATCTGATTCGCTGGGACTACTAGAAGACCACCACACCAACAATCCCCTCGATGCTTGGCCACATCGTGCTTGTGCTCACGCATTGCAAGGGGCTTTCCAACGACCACTGCCGCCAGAAGCACGCTTGCAGCTGAAACTGGCGCAAGTCACAAGCATGCCATGAAGTCGTGAAGCTTTTTCCACAGCTGCAGCAAAGCCTTGTTGCATTGCTTTTTGCATTCACCTTGTGCGTTGGCAGCAGCCCTGAACCCTTGCAAGGCGCATATTCTGTTCTCGATATAAATCATCTACGAATATATCGACGTCTGGGAGCAAGAGAAGCCGCTCATCAGGGGTTGCAGCCTCGACCGCTGAAAAAGAGGGGTGGGAAGCAACGAAAAGCTGAAAAGAGAACGGAAAGCTGCGCCTCGCCGAGAGAGGCTCCCTCCGAGGCTAAGCCGCCTGGGCTGCCGACAGCAGAGAGAGAGGCTCTCAAAAGGAACCCCGCGTTTTTTACTCACAGATGGACCGAGGCCAGGCGGGGGAAAGGGTGATCCGCGTCTTTTTTTTTTGCAAAGAGAACCCGCGGGTTTGTTACTCAGAGGGGACCGAGGCCAGGCGCCTCGAGCTAGAGCGGCTCCGCCGCTGGGCTCCGCTCCCCTAGGCTCCAAAGGCGCTGGAGGTCATCAGCCGGAACTCGTCGTCGTCCTCGCAGTGGGTTTCCCAGGGCAGCGAACACCTCGTTCCTCTTTTTCCCGGCCTCGTGGACGGCGGAAACCATTCGGAAGAAGTCCAGGAACTTCCCGAAATCGAAGGCCGAGCCTCCACGCTGGCAGCTGCTGGCAGCTGGGCCCTCACGAACACCGTCCCCACCGTGGCGCCTGCTGCAAAGAAGTCCACGGCATCGAAGAACTCCTGCTCCGCTTGCCTGGGATCCTTCCTGGAGAGGACCCGCGCTGTTTCATCAGCGAACTCCGGCAAGAGACACATCGCCTTCGCAGAAGGCACTGCGGGGCGCTGGAGGCGTCGAACCTGGCGGAACCGCGAGAGTTGGGCTCAAGCAGCGCAGCCCCAAGTGCCAGCTAGGCAGCTAGGCCCCGGGGCGGCGCCTGTTCTTCAGCGTCTGCGCCGTCACCTGGGACCCGCCGCCCAAGGCCTCGCCAGGGCACCGCAAAATCAACTGCACATGATGCGGCATGGCATTCCTTCCCCCACTTTTGGAATGCGCTTTGCCAATGAAACGTTCTCCCGCTTTGGGAAGTTAGGCGAATCGCAACATGCTTTAAATCACGCTCCTCTAGAAGCGTGTGGGTACCAGCGGCGTCGCGGCGTCATGCAGTGGATGCCGATTGTACTGTCACGTTCTTGGCCGTGGCACGGCCGTTGGAAACGTCCACGGTGAACTGGACTTGGTCGCCCACATTCACGCTGCCGGCTAGCTCGTTCTTGTGCAAGAAGATCTCGGACAAGAAGACGCCTTTCGCCGCAGCCGAGTCGATGAAGCCCCAGCCCTGGCTGTGAAACGGAGGGAGGGTTTAGGGAGGGTTTTTCAGCGGAAGCTCTGCTCTCCTTGGCGTCGTTGAAGGCTTTCACTGTCCCACTGTAGGAGCTCGCGGCACTGCCTTCGTCAAAGGCCTCCCAGGCTGCTGATCTGTTGAAATCTGTTGCGTCTGTGCTGTTGTGCGGTGTGTGCATTTGGAGTAGCAGACTTGCTCATGAAGCAACAGCTGCATGGGCTTGTAAGAAATCATCTCTTGCTCTCAGGAAAACAGTTGTTGTGACGCCTAAAGGCACCAAACCAGTCGGTGGATGACCGATCCGATGACCGAGAGACCAACCCGACTCTCTGCAAAGGTTCTCAAGCGAATTTCAGTCCGCTGTTTTCACTCCTCGAATTGCAAGCAAAGCGAGAAAATGACGGCTCCTACGTAAATTACATATGAAGGAGCCGTAGGAAAGGCCTCTGGATCCCCTGGCTTCATTGGGGCCGGCTCAGACCAAGCAAGAAGAAGGGTTTAGGGTTGTGGGATTTCCCCCGCTGAGTGGGGCCTGGATGTTGATGGCATGGGCGCCTTTCGGCCCAGGCGAGACGCTGAAGGACACGGCCTGGCCGGCAGTGACCTTTGCCTCCTCGATGCTCGTCCTCACAGAGAACTCATACACACACCCAGCTCTGGAGCTCTAATCTCTCTCTCTGCTCCCTTTCTGCTCTTTTTTTTCGCCCGACACAGCTCCTGTGTGCGAAGATGTCCTTGCCATAAATTCGGGTCATTGCCTCGCTCGCAATGTGCCCGAAGCCTTTCTCGTTGATGGCCTTCACCGTGCCGAAGAAGACATCAGTCTCTTTCGGGTCGGAGAAGCCCCTCCCGTAGCCCTTCCCAAAGCCTCCAAACACAGTCAGTTGCAAGTGCGAGGGGGAGAGAGAGAGAGGCCGTCGGCAGTGCCTCCGTAGCCGAAGAGCATCGGCGGAACGAAGCCCATTGGAAAGCCCTTGCCAAAGCCTTTGGCACCCCATCTTCCTCCCGGAGGGTCCTTCGAGGCGGGCAGTGAGGGGAGGGTACAGCGAGGGGCAGGGGCTGACATCTCTTCCGTCCAGCACACGAACATCCGAAGCGATCGGACCTCGCTCTCCTGCCTGCACAGGCACCGTCAACGGAAGACACGCGCAGAAGACACGCGCGCGCCGCTCTCGCGCCTTGGCCCGGAACTGCACGTGGAGGCCCTGCTCCGGCCAGGCGTCCCCGAACTCGCTCCTCTGGCACACAAAGCGCGGGGCGGCTCGGCAAGCAGGAAGAGAAGAGGTCCTGATGAAGAAGCAATCCTTTCCAAAGAGGCTCTCGGTCGCTGGACTCGAGATGAAGCCAAAGCCTCAGAGCGCGCGAGATTGGGAGTGTGCTAAAGCTGCCAGCGCGTTCTCTGTCTCTCTCAGTCAGGGCCAGCGGCCCTTGAGCTGATTGAAGCTCCGGACTTCGCCGAAGAAGAGCGGGCCAGCTCCGGCCTCCTCTCCCTCCAGTGGCTTCTGCTTCACCTTGACGTCGGTGGCCCTGGCGCCCTTGTCACTCTGCGTCACGCTGAAGGTCACAATATCGCCCTTGCAGACGCCAAAGCCATTCAGGTCGTTCTTCAGCAAGAAGACGTCGGACCCCCCGGAGCCGAACTGCTTCGCCTCCTCGCACTCGATGAAGCCCCAGCCCTGAGCAAATCAGGGCAAAACTTCTTGTGCTGCGTGTCGCAATCAATCTCTTCAATGAGGCTTGCCGCGCCTTGTGGGGGTTGAAGGAGCGCACGGTGCCCGTGTAAGTGGCCATGGCGCGCGCGAGAGGCGCAACAGCGCGGGCCCCCCTTTTCCCCCCCCCCCCGCTCTCTCTACCAGCTGAGCGCGCAAAGTCTGCCGCGAGCCCCCATTCCACAACCAAGCTCCAAGAATTTCGAGGGGGCGACTCTCTCTGTGGCACTGCTATAACGGCCAACCCTTCAAATTCAGTGGCCTCGTAGAGCTGCTCCACGGCCTGCTCGCGGTCCTCGCGATGAAATGAAAGGCAGGCACCTCTCTCTCCATGTATAGCCTGTATAGCTGTAGCTGCTCTATATTTGGACTCCGCTCTCTCCGACTCCTTTTCGAGGCTGTCCCCTCGCAGCAAGTGCAGACACCTGCTGAGCTGCAGGCTCTTTGAAGGCTCTTTGTCAAGGCTCTTTCACCCGGTTTGGACCGAGAAGGGCCCCTTTAAAGGGGACTCGGTTAAGACGAGAGAGACTGCCGAGGCGAGCGCTGGAGGTAATCCTGAGTCACGCCGCCGACAGGGCCGTCTCTGCATGGGCGCGCTTGCCCAAGTCATGGCCAAGTCCCACGCCATGGCTGCACCTTTCTTCTTCTGTGCGAGCTCCTCGAAAACACATTCAGAGAACTTCCCGCTCTGAGGAGCTCTGGGAAATCTGCTTTGCCCTCTGCGCGCCTTGAAGAGGAGCTCCTGATCCTCCGGCGAGAGGCCCAGGCCCAGCACGCGGTTCAAGCCTGGCAGCGAGAGGGGCATGACGCGGAACGCACAGCGTGCGTGCGGGGCCGCTGAACGAGAACTCTGGGCGTCCGCTCGCTGCCAGTCCAGGCGCATGATGGTCCCATTCCTGGCGCCGCGTGGAACTTGGCGCAGGAGCCGCGCCCGCCCTCTCTGCAGAGCCTCCGGTAGTCGAAGTTCTGGAACCGCTGAACCACGGCCAGCCAGCCTCAAGAAAGAGACACACAGAGAGTCTGATCTGATCTCCGACTCCTTTGGCGAGAAAAAGCTCCCTGCCCAGATGCCTCGGAGGCCTCGCAGGGCGATGCTGCGCCGTAGCCTGACCGGACCGACTCTGCCCGCACTCTACCAGAAAACCCTCTCTGCGCGGGCGCGTAAACATGCGTAAACGCGCCTAAAAGGGGCAGAAAGGCAACCAATCTCACTCGGCTCTCTGCCCATTTCTCTCTCTCTCTCTCTCTC